CACTGGCCGCTGGGACATCGGCTGGAGGAGGAGCATGTAACACCAAGGAAGCAGGGCGGCCGCGAATCGACGACCCCGCGATCAGGGAGCGCGATAAGATAAGAATCGGGCCCACCTGGCAAATCACGTGATGGCTCACTCAGACATAAAGGGTGAGTCGTCGGGCTCACCAAAGGACGCCGCAGTGAGCCAGGGAATGGCTCACGGGATAACACACCGTGATCCTAACATCATGGATCACCAACAACTAACCAGTGAGCCATCCAACATGAGCTCACCACCTAACACAACAAGGACAGGATGGCAGGTATATAAGGACGGACATTCTGGACTTGTAGATACATTCTTTCTCACGACAGTGATCAATCTAAGTCTTACCTTGTATTCATTGTAACGAGTGCGCAACGCCTTACGACACCACATCGTCTCAGAGTCACAACCTAAGCTTCTGCAAACAGCAACCCCAACCCTCTGACAGTGTTCCCCCTTCGGAAGCTGCCAGGTCGTAACACCTTACTATATAGGGAGTCTCTAGACCCTTTAACGGAATATATATCGTCGCCTCCTCGTACTATAGCGCCTCTACCTCCCTATAGGTCTATATATAATACTCTTTATATTATAAGTTAATATATTAAAACCCGTATTAATAACCTATCCCTAAGCGCTAGGACTCTACTCCTTATAGAGTAAGCTATTTATATAAACGCTAATATTCTCGACGCTCTAACTAAGCCTCTCCTAGCCTATTCTATAGCCTAGGCTTACTCTATAATATCGGATATCGATATTCCGAAGACTATTAATACTACGAAGAAGGGTCTTAACTAATATCTCTAGAAACCGGCTTTTAATAAATAAATTATTAACTTACTTAAGCGTAAGACTTAGACCCTAGTAGACCCCCTTACTAGTATTAAGGTCCTCTTAGGAATATAGGTTCTTAATATAAAGACTTCCTTTTAGCGATTTTATACTAAGTAGGTAGTCTACGGTAATCGTTAATTAAGCTAATAGGCTATATAGGACCTTTACGCTATAATTACTTACTCGGTTTTAATCTATTTATTCTTCGCCCTCGTTATTTATTTAGACCTTTAATTTATTATTATTAACTTCGATAATATATTTCTTATAGCCCTTACTCTTATTAATATTTATATATTCGTCTAATAGCCTCGTAGATATAAGGATAGTATTAATAAGGTTTATCGCTTTAATAATACCCTCTACGGGCTTCGCGAAGCTCCCCTTTAATAGTTTTAATTCCTATTTAAGAAGCTAAATAAACTAGGCTATACTTATATTATAAAGAACCTATATCTCTTATATAATAAATATATTAGAGTTATTCTATTAATATATATTAATAACGTTATTATTATTAAGCCTTCTATTAAGGCTATTAAGGGAGCTATCTAGATATTAAAATTAATCTACGATTTTAAAGAAATATTAATTATTAATAAGTTTATTAATATATATATTACCTATAATATTAAGAATAGCTTTACTTTATTATATTAATATAAATATACTTAAAAGATACTATAATACTTTAGCTTTAATAAAGCTAATCTAATTAAGACCCCTTAAGCTTTAAGCTCTTTATTTCCTTATTTAGATATTACCTTATATAACCCTTAAATATTAAAGAAATATTAAAAGATAATAAATACTCTTAACTATCTTAACTATAATACCCGCCTTAATATTAGCTTTAATATCTTAAAGCTCTACGAGGGGAATAGCGGATTAATCGATAAATACTTTATAGCTATTAAGTATATATTTCGCTACTTTAAAAGTACCCTCTCGCTTAGAATTAAGTATTATAAGTATATTAACGTTAAGCTCTTTACTATAAGCGATACCTTATATAGCGATTATTATAATTATACTTCTATAAGAGGATATATAGTCTTCTTTATTAATAGCCCTATAGCCTAGAAATCGTATAAATAATAATTTATTACTCTTAATACCTTAGAAGCTAAATTTATTAATCTTATTCCTATAAATATTATTCTAAATTAGATTAAGGATATTATAGTAGCCTTTAAAGTATAGATTCCGAGACCTCTTATCTTATTAATAAATAGCTAGAATACTCTAATAATTACCCTTAACCCTCTTAACGCTATATATACTCGCTATATCGATATTCGATATAAATAAGTTTAAAAACGTATTATCGTAAACGATTTTAAGCTTCGCTATATACCTTCCGCTAAAATACCTATTAATAGACTTATAAAAAGCCTTAGCCTCGAGAAGTATATAGAATTTACTTACTAATTACGCCTTATTAATATAAACTAAGTTAGCTATTATTATTATACTAATCCTAGGCTTCTAATTAGCCGGGAGATTGCATTTTTAGAGTACTAGGATTAGGAAAGAGGCCTATTACAAGGTGCTTACGGGGACTCTTATAGACCTAATAGCTAATACGCCTTAGATAGTGCCTATAGGGGGGTATTAGTGGTATTCGCCTAGGGCTTCTAGCGGTCACCTAATACTAGGTGGCCTATGCCCTGGCACCTCCCTCCTATAGCTTAGTTCCAGGCACCCTCCTGCCCTAGAGAATAGCTTCCTAATACAACACCTTTTTCTCCCTAGACCTCCACAACACCAGCAAGTCATCTCCTCGGGTGATGCGGCGAGAAGGCGGAGGGGAAAAAAGAAGGACGGCAAGAATTAGCAAGGTGCATGGTTTTGCTATCCCACCAACTGTCCTCCTAGAATGCCTAACTATTTGACACTACAGTTACGTTCGAGTTCTTCTCGGTACTCTTCCTCGTCCTTGGCCTTCTGCTTCGCCATCGCTTCAGCATTCTCTTGCCAGAGGTTTGAGGCTGGCTTCAGCAAGGCTATTGCCTGATTATTGGCAAAGAACTTTGGCAATATATGGTCTTGGAACAGAAAGTGCCAGGCGTTCAAGGACTTCAGGGATGCCCAGAACCATACACCCTTGGATTCCCATGAGTTGCGGAGTATAAGGGTTAGTTCCTTCTGCTTGGCCGTTCTTTCCTCGTCCATGATGGATAAGAATGTTTGGCGGGTCGCGTCATAGAGTTCGTACTGCTCGCCCACGATTTCGTCAACGCTACAGCCCGTGAGCCAGTATGGCACAGATAACATCTCTGCCGGTAGAGCGCAAATCCATTCCAAGTCAACCAGATATGTGATGTTCCAGTCGTTGTCGACAAAGATATTACTCTGGTGCAAGTCAGTGAATTGTAAGATAAAAGGCCCCTGGCGAAGTTCGCGCATCAAGAAATGGTGCGAAACAGCTCGCAGTAGCGTCCTCATGGCCATCCTCTCATAGGCATCCTCCTCGTCTGCGACTGCGTGCGGGTTGTGACGCATATGTTCGTCGTATAATGTAAGCGTGTCTGCGACAAAGCTGTCCGTGCAACAATATGTCTGATCTTGCTGTATTATTCGCGGGGTACCACTGTGCTCGAATGTCATTGTCGAAACCATGAGCGGGCGGTTTGTCAGCGAAATAGTGCAATCGTCCGGGTTGAATCGCCAGGAGCCAATCCGCGCTTGAGGCACTCGAGCCAGCGAGAGTATGAGTCGTGAAATCGCCTTGAAGAGACGGCGACTACGCTGCGGCTCATCCTTGAAAGATTCCCACGTCGTAGAAAGCATCTGACCAACGTCGGGACGAATGTATTCGAGGAGCATGTGACCAACTTTGGATGTCGGAGGGCAGGACGATGGATGGTAGTTCGAGAGGAGTGAAAGGCCGAAGAGACGGTGTACTTGTCGTCGGATATATCGGCAAAAACGAGCGAGCAAGGACGCTTGGTCGTGCTGGGTGAACTGAGAAAGGTGAGAAGTGTGTAAGTGGGAAAGGGACTGGGGAACGAACCTGTCTCCCATCGGTGAAGCCAAATGCATGAAGCTTTGGGATGGGGATATCTGGGCAGTGCTCTTGGATCCAAATATATGTGGCAACCTCACACCTGAGCTTTTCGTCCATTGTGCCTGGGTATTGAGATTCAGCTACCCGGTGGGGGAATGGACAGCGCAGGACATAGGTTGTGGACCTGCCAGAAGATTTGACAGCGACCATGACGCAGACGTTGAATCCACCTTGTATCCATGATTGGCGTGAACATATCTCGCAACCGTCCTCGGCTTGAAGGTGAAGAGCGTTGCGGACAAGCAACGCGAGCTGTGTTCTCTGGTTCCAAAGATGATTCTGGAAGTCGGCGGCAGCACGCTGATGCTGTAAATAAAGCACCAGATTGGTCTCTATGTCTGCTGCCGAGCTCAGCTTGAGCCATTCGCCGTGGTGTTGGAGACCCAGCCCTGACATGTAGAGTTGTCGGCCCCAGGAGGCGGTATTGTCGACAGGTCCCCCTGAGCTTGTTTGCAGGGGAATTCTGACCTCCACTACGATCAACATCGGGTTGGGTCGCAGGCCAAGCCAGCCTTTATCGATAAGAACATCACAGGGGAAAGACATATTGGGCTTAGTTCATGTCTTAGTTCATGGTATATGGCAGTCGCCAACATGCCCCCAGGGCTACGGGCAGTGCAGGGACGTCCCGTGGGACGCGCGAGCGAATGACTTCCCCACGATTACACACTCAATGTCCACCCGCACCCCCACAGCCCCTGCCCCCCCAAGCCCCCCATCCCAGTGACCTATCCGAGATTGGCCGACAAGACCTGGAGAGTCCACCTCAGCGGGGCTCTGGGTCCCACGGTCCACCCGAGCAAGGAAACAATCGGAAACCGCACATGGCCTGACGGGGCAAGACTGGTCCTACCGGCACTCGAAGAAGGAAAGAGCGCCTCGACGTCAGGATTTTAGGTCGCCAACTTCCCCGCCAAATGCCCACTATCGGCTCATCCTCGTCGCCCTCTCATCACCCAGACATCGCCCTCCCAACCAACACGAGCCATCTCTCGTTCGAGACGATCAATCACGACCACAGGCAAAGCCTCTCCCGCGACCGAGCCAGAATCGCAACCTCGAGACCGTACTCTTGACTCGACCCGAACGACTCAAGCCCTCCGACACCAACATCTTCAGCCGCAGTATCAATACTGCGCGCTGCTACCTACCTCCCTCTCATCTCAAGGGTTCACGTCAAGATCCCCTTCTGCCTCCTCGACTCACTTCAACTGATCCCGAACCCGTCCTGTGACGGCAACCCCCCAGCCGACGACATGCCCAACACAAACATGCCCACCCAGCGCCCCTTCTTCCTCTCCACCTTCTTCGCCTCCTTCCGCCAGGCACCCAACACATCATCCCTCGCCCAGCAACCGAACAAGCACACAACCCAGTCGGCCTCGTCCTCCTCAGCAGCCGCCTATGCCCAGCAGCAGTCGGCCTCGTCCGCGTCCTCGAACCCGCGCGCCATCGCCCCCCCCTCGGCGACCGGCAGCGTCGTCAACCAGCTGCCGCTGCACTCACCGCGCGGCGCCGCGCGTCGCGCATGGCGTGCCCATCCCCGCGTCGTCTCCCGGTCGAGGGCGCGGCAGCGACAGCTCGAGCGAGGGGTTCAGGGACGTGCTCGGCGCGGAAAAGTGGTATGTCGGCGGGCGGACGGCAGGCGGCGAGGAGAGGTTCTTCAAGATGGGCGTCGTGAGGCGGGTGAGGAGTAATGACGGGTTGAGTCTCGATCGGATGAGCTTATGATGTGCTTTGGCTTGCTTGAGCTCTCTTTGGTGGATGATGCGACAATATGAATTTTCTTGTCAACACGACATGGGTTATTTGGGGAAATGGGTTTCGGACAATGGGGGGACTATCGGAACATCGATTACATACACGACAACCGTCGCTTGTTGTACATAGGGATTGGAAACGTGCACAATGCTGGGAAACGGCGTTTGGGGGACTCCAAGGACGAGTGGGAGGGAATCACGACTTTTTGGCGCGCATGAGACGCACGCTCTGTCAGATTGTGACGTAGAGGAGACCGCGCCGGCCCGATGTGGTGGCCTATCATGAGATCAAAAGCATAAATCATGATCCCAGGTCTTTTGCCTGTATTGCATTTCCTGCGTACCTATGTGACGGAGGCTCATCATCTGCCTATGAATAGTGCGTCTCTCTCTCTCTCTCTCTCCTTGTTGAGCCAAACCTCCTCACCACATGAACCGCTGCAGACGACCCTCGTCAAGGATGGTGCCGTCCTCGGCCCTCCAGACATACGGCTTGAGCAAAAAAATGGCCATCGTCACAACGTTAATGGCGACAAACCACAGCGTCTCCACGACGACGCGCAGATCGACACGCCTTCCCCACGCAAAGAACCAGTCGAGACCAAGCACGCGGTGGACGGGTTCCTCCCCGGCCACAGTGTGCTCGTGAGCCCGCCACGCCGGGACGAGCAGACGCCAGAAGACCCACGGCAGGATGAAGTACCGGGGCTCGACGAGGGGCGCCGTCATGAGCGACAGCGTCGTGGCTACGAGGAGCAGTATCACGGTTGACGACTGCGGGGCCTGATCGCCATTGGGACGCATAGCCCGCTCGTCCTCGGGGTTTTCCTTGTTCGTGGGCTTCGAGGATATTTCGTCGGGGTTTTGGGTGAAATCTGGGCGCTTCTTGTTTTCGAGTGACTGGTTCGTGCACACTAGACCCCAGAAGGGATGGCAGGTGTAGGGCGGTGTCTCGTCCACATCAAAGCCGTAGTCGGAGCAGTCCTGGGTCCAGGCCATATCTACGGCTGGGCTGCACGGCGCCAGTGCGGCCCAGCAAAGGCGGAAGCAGAACAGGTACGCAAAAGTAAAGAGCTCGCGGAGCCAAGACGAGGCCAGGATCGTGTACCGGAAGATGTAGAACACGTAGTGCCTGTTGTCGGCGAGTGTAAAGGGGTGTATGATGGTGTTCTTGAGATGATGACCCAGCACAGCAGAGCAGCTGG